TTTGCGAGCTAAAATGGACAGCCAATGGGTAATGGTGGGGGCCAACCCCATTCACGTTCCCGGGGACACGTTTCTGAGTTTCTGAATCTTGTGGGGAGACGGCAGTCAATCGATGGAGTGGAGTGCAGGAGGGTAGGAGGGTAGCAGCAGAAGCGGCTTTGTTATCGAATGCAAAACTATTTAGTCGTTGCATGTTGTTAATAATTTTAAAATCAGATTTCCGCAAGTTTGACGCAGACACGAAGGTAGTCAGTCGTTGCCTTGGCTGGAGGAGTTTTTTGTTTGCTGTGTGCTGTGTGCCCCATGACGTGTCCGTGTCTTGATTGCGGTTTTTTCTGCCACTGCAGTGCGCCCTTAGATAGTGGCAGCAACTGAGCAGCAGCAACTGAGCAGTGGCAGTGGCAGCAACTGAGCAGCCAGCGCCAACTGCTACTTAAAGAGGGTCAGCAGGAGTGCAGTGGATCGGGGCACCGCTCCTGACAATTGTTGCGCAATTACACAGAAGACCTATGGGCACGCAACTTTTGGACGGTTCTGCGGCCCAAGACCCAAGCCAATACCAAAGACCAATCCCAAAGCCCAAAGCCCAGCCCTGCCCTCACCTCACCTCACTCAAAAAGCAAATCCAAACAGACGCTTAAGTCCGCAGTCCGTAATCACGCCTCAGCAAACTGCTACTTCTGCAGCTCCTGATTCTGCTGCTGCTGTTGCTGCTGCTGTTGCTGCTGCTGCACTGCAGCCAGTGTGCCATGCTGTCCTCAAGTTCGTCCTCAATCACGCCATCGGCCATGCACATGGGGACTACTACGAGTGTACAGTCTGTACAGCTGTCCGTCTGCGGAAGATCTGGCCTCGTCGTGGCCTCGTCTTGGATGTTGCTGCTGCTGCTGCTGTTGCTGCTTCTGCAAAATCAATGTTGACGCAAATACGTGTATGTAGAATCATTTTGCCGACAGTTCGGACTTATTTCTTTCGCTACCGAATTTAATTGGATTTTCTCCCTGACTTAAGGGCTTTAACTGCTGTGGTATGTGGAAATCATTTCTGGCCCCAGTCCCGTCCCAGACACGCAATGCCGCCCCATACCCCATACCCCTACCCCTACCCCCTGTTCAGCTGCAAATTTGCTCTTGTCGGTGTTGCAGCATGCAGCAGCAGCAGCAGCAGCAGCGGCGGCGACGGTTGACACTCCTCAGTGCCCCATCGGCAGGCCAGGCCCGGCCCGGCCAGTAAAAACTTACTTAATTTAGCTTCGGCGAGAAGTTAATCATTGCATTTCGCCCATGGGCAGGGGGGGACTGGCGAGGGTCCTCTGATGAGTGCGTGCTCGCTGCGATATTGATGGACATGAGCTCACCCCCTCTCTCTCTCTCACTCTCTCTCTCCCTCGGTGTCTCTCTCCGCTTCTCGATCGTATTGCTGATCCAGGTATGCGCAAACATAACCCCACTTTCGGTGGCTCCACTCGAGTGACAGATGAATACTGATCGATTAGAAAGTGAAGTGACTATAAGTAGTCGTGGAGGAGCGTAGCTTGAGCTCAGCTTGCTTTGTGCCGCCCGGCTGCATTTGTCAGAGATTGTGGATAAGCCGGACTCTGAGTTGGCTTGGATACGGGTGGATACGGGTGTGAGAAATACACCGAAATAAATATTCAATCTCCGATAGTATGCCCAGTATTTATAGAGTAATTAGGCATAAATACTACTGGTCGTGGGTACATTTATTTGTGAATGAAGTTTGAGAAATGTACAAAATATTATTCCACTATTATTATGGAAAACTTATGCTAAAATGCTCCCTACCTAAAGGGAAAATATACTCTAACTCAGTCTGTGACCCAGAGATAGAGTTCCACTGCGAACTTTTCCAGGAGAACTTCCGAGATTCAGGGGCCAAATCATATATCCAAATCGAGTTTATTTTAGGAGCTGTGAGCGGTGTGAGAGGTGTAAGATACAACAGACAAAACTTCAACTGAGGCTACCAATGGACTAATCGATCTGCTGCTCCGTTCGCAATGAGTCGGAGCGCGACTCGGAGCCGGCTTCCGGCATTACTCTGCAAAATCTGGGGAATATCTATTTGTATGCAAATGGAACATGTTGCTGGAGCCATGGAGCCATGGAGCCATGGAGCCAGAGCCAGCAGAGCCGCCAGACAAAAAGCGACACCTTAATCATTCTGAGCAAGCGCTAAACATTTCCGATCTACAAAAACAGAAACTAGAGCGTATTTCCGCCAGCCAGGGCCAAGACCCAAAGGGAGTATGTACAAGGTATGTATGTATGTACTCGTATGAATGTCTCCTGGAGGAAAGCCTGTGGAGAAAGCCGGGCCAGAAAGCTATTTTGTATTTGTTTACTGGCATTCAGAAATTCCGATGGCCGCTCTTCTCTTTTGTTTGTGGGTGGGGGGTTTATAACTGCCCAGACGTTTACTTTTTACGGTTCACCAAGTGGTGGTAGGTCGGCCAGTGCCCACACCCACACCCATGGGATCCCCCCCTTCTTTTCCCTGGCGGTGGAAATCAGCATATGCATATGCCTACATGTGGGTAAACACCACCGCGTCGCTAACTGTAGGCACAAAAACTCCGCCCTGGGGCACTTCTTGTCTACATTGTTTGGAATATTTTCAGCCGGACAGCGGACACAGCAGACGGACAAACGGACAGCAGCCGGCTGACGGCAGGCGGCAGACAGCAGAGGGGTAAACAAACAAAAACAGGAAGCGTGGCTACCACAAATATGCACGGCACAGGCACAGGGCTTGGTTTTTGGTTTGGGATTGAACTTTGGGACTGGGACTGGGACTGGGACTGGGACTGGGTTGGGTGCCTCCATGTGGAATGCATGTAGATACTAGATCGCTATCTGGCTACGAACTTTGCCACAGGAATAATGGCGGCCGACAGGCGTTGGCCGGGGGCGGCCATAATTAATGCGCCCATCCCTATCCCTGGCCCTGGCCCGAAAAATGCTGCACGAAACGCAATTAGAAGCGGGCGTAATTTGTTGCCGGCGGGCTGCAGATGGGGTTCGGTTCCGTTCGCCCACGGCTTCTGCATGTGTGTGTGTGTGTTTTTGTGTGTCTGTTAGCGATAAGTGTTTAATTAGCCGCGTTATTAATCTAATCAATCATGGAGGCCGAAATCAATCATTAGGGGGGAGCGCGGCTGATAGTGCAAAGACTGGCTATCGGCTCGCACAGCGACCAACCTCCCTTCAGTCCACACCCCGCTCGGGCCTTGAGTCGTTGACAGAATCTATCCGCTTTGAGCTGTGAATGCAGCTGCTCATTGGCTCGCTCATGCCAGTGCGTGCGAGCGAGACGACTAGTGCTGCGGCTGCGCACGACAGCGGGAGAGCGCTGTGAGGAACGAGCGCACTTGGTCCCGCCTCTCAGAGAGTTTTTCCGTCTCCAGTTTCGAGTGGAACTCAATCGGCGCACACATTAACGTATTAACGGGTCTTATATCACATGAGTCGAATGTCTCCCCGCTCTGCCCACCGACGACTAAATATTTTTAGTGGAAAGCGCCTCTTGCTTAGTCTTTTATCCAATAAATAAATAAATTATTGGGACTGCGTCAACAACTGTGTGTGTGTGTGTGTGTGTGTGTGTGTACGGGAGCGTGTTGGCTGGGGCGACTCGTGTGACTCTGTCCCTGTCTCTGTCGTTTGGCGTGCGGTGGAGCATTCATTCCGCTGGCTGCAAAAGTTCACCTCTCAATCGGCTAGTATCGAGTGGGTTGGGTGGGTGATCATTGTTATTCTGCGCTGCTGGCGGATTATAGCCCATTAAAATTGATTATTCCCCATTATCAGCGCTGGGTGGCACGCCCCCCGCCCCACCCCACCAGACAGGTGGACACGCGTGAGTGTCCCCGCCAATTACCTGCCTCTCCCTGACTGACTCCAGTGACGCCTCCATGTGGTGGTTCCGCACTTGGCGACGGCGCCTGCGGTTAGAGCCATTGCTCGGCTCTGCCAAAACAAAGCAGAGCTTCCGACACTGTCATCGACACCGAGAGAGCCACTTGGCAGCCATTACATCGACCCCCCTACCCCCTACGACCATGCACCACTTCATCCATTCACATCGACGCCGCATCCACAGCCAACCAGTGTCGGTCGACCATTTTGCATCCTCTTCAGTGGGGAGTGGGGTGGCTGCGGACAAGTAAATCAATTAGCTGGTACCCCCCCCCCACCACCACCACACAGCTGGCTCCGACTGCCACTGCAACTGCATCTCTCTCTCTCTCTCCTCTCTCCCACTCTCCCACTCTCTCTGTTCCTCGCGCTTCTTGCAGAGTTGTGCGCAGGCTTTTACTGCTCTCTCTCTCTCTGTCTCTCTCTCTTTCTTACTGTCTCTTTCTTGCAAGGAGGATTGAGTGCGCGGATTCATTGGTTTTCCTCCGGCCTTGCCAGCAGAATGTCCACCCTAATGCGCTTTTTGCATGAGCAAATACCGATACCGTTGCTCCACCGTTGGCTCACTGCAAAAAACTAGTAAGCCCAACTGGCAGCGCCTTTTGGGGGGTGGAAAGTTTGACAAACAACAATGCACCAGAATGAGCCCGAATGTGGGGCTAATTAATTATTGAACTTTTACAACTGCATCTCTGTCTGGCTGCCCTGCCCTGCCCGCCCGCCTGACCGCCTGCCTGCCTGCACTGTTTCTGCTCAAAGAGCGCACTCTCACTCCGCAAAGCGCTCAAATGCGCACTCTCACTCGGATTCACACGCACACACTCACACACTCACACACGCCACCACCACAGTATCCACTGGGTATGGTATGGTATGGTATCCCCTTTCCAATGCTCGCTCGCCTGCTCAGCTCGGTGCTCAACCACAACCACAACCACAAGCAAACCAGAATACAGCCCCACAACAGCAGCCCATCCCCGCTCCACCTTCGCCCAGAGACACAGGCAGGGGCAAGCAAAGTAAGTCTCGGCTGGGGCCAGGCCACAGCCACAGCCAGCTTGCTCACAATCCCAGTCGGCGTGAGTGAGCGCGCGTCGGCGACGGTTCCGGTTCGCGTTTCGTTCGCTTCGTTCGTTTTTCTGTTTTCGGAGAGAGCCACGACACGACACGCCGACGAGCTGCGAAGGGCCGTCGGAAAAACAAATTTTCTAATTTCCCATTGGCTTCCCAGCTGAAGATGCCACCTGCTGCTGCTGCTGCTGCTTCTGCTGCTGCTGCATGACTGACGTGGACAGACTTCCAGACAGCTCTTCCCCCCACCCACCAGAGATCACACAGTTCTGGCGCGCTGGGCATGGCTACAACAGCGACGAGCACAACGCCAGCCCCAACGAGGACTCCCACAAACGGTGCCAACGCCATCACAGCTTCTGCTTCAGCTTCAGCTTCAGCTGCACCGCCCAGAGGAGGCCCTGAATCTCCGGGAGCCATTATGCCGACGGGTGCCAGTGCGTCGCCCAGCGTCTCCCTAGCCATGACAGCGGTGCCAATGCCAATGCCAATGCCAATGCCGTCGCACGTCCATCTTCTGGCCGGTAGCGGTGGCCAGCCGACGGCAATGACGCCCGTTTCGCCCACAGCCGCACCCACAGGTGAGTGGTGGTGAGGTGGTAAAATGATGCACCCGTTTCAGAGTCCCCTCTCCTACTCCTCCTCCTCCTCCTCCTTCGCCGCGTTGCACGCTCCAGGGCACTGCGAATTTTGGGGTGAAATTCCGTGAAGTGACAGGGATACGGGGGCCCCGTGCAAGCAGCAACAGAAACAGTTTAAGACAAAGGCAAAGGCAAAGACAAAGGCCAGCCACTGCGACTGGCACTGCCACTGGCACTGCCACTAGGCAAATGCCTGCTGGAAAGTGCAATGATTTGGAAATTTCACAACAGCATCGCAGCGGCAGCCACAATATATATATATATATATATATATATATGCATACCTAAACATACTCAACGGACAGGAGACACAACTGGCAACTGTTTTGGTCTTTCGCACATCAGTGGCAATTTGCTTTGCACAAGTATGGGTTGTCAAATAAAATTAGTTCATGTCGTGGCGGCCATCGAGGGGCTACTCACAGTCCCGCAGTCCCGCAGTCCCGCTGTCCGCAGTCCGGGATGGTCAGGCAGGGGGGGCAGGCATTGGTGCGGGCAGCGGGCCAAAGCTTTGACTTGTCTCTAGAAGGTGTTGGAAGTTGCACAATAAATAAATAATTATAAAAGAGCTCAGGAACGGGGGCAGAGAGACACAGACACAGACAAAGACAGAGAGGGAGAGGGAGAGAGAGAGACACACACACAGACACATATGGTGGGGCATCAACAGCCTGAGCTTAGGGAAAGGCACGGGGACGGGGCCAGGGCTGGGTACATGTACATACATTGAAGTTTAAGCATAGGGCAGAAACCATACTTAGGGCTCTCGGGTTACGTGGTGCGTGTATTGGCATTATTCTTAGAAAGCCAAGCGTATAAAAGGTGTGCACGATGATTTTCGAGGAGCCGGAGAGGGCCTCGGAGGAGTCGCCAGTTCAGCGACTAAGCGGAGACTATAGTGCCCTGGATCGTTATGTTACGTTCCCCCACATGTCTCAACGGAACGAGACAGCGACAATTATGGATTTGCCTCCGACAAACTTACAGCGAAAATTGCACGAAAATTTACGATTTCCATCAACTTACGAAGAGACTTTAGATCTTCAGGAGAACCATGATTACTCCCTTTACTTACTCTTTATGTATAACGAATTAAGCAAGAAATTACACATACATATTCCTTGGATATGACTCTCCCCCATTTACTATGACATCCGATATTAAACCCTAATAGACTACATTCGAGCTTCACACATTTCGATGTGCAGTCCTTCAGACCGATCACTGATGGGATTATCCCGATCTGCACAGAGTGCTGCCTAGTTAGAGGTGCCATAGGCTCAGCAGCAGGTTCCCCCCAGCGTAGGGAAATGCCCCCAGATTCAGCATAGAGCGGCAATGAAAACCAGAAGCCTTAGACGACGAGTAAAGCGCTGCGCGCGACAAACAAGATCAGCGAGCAGCAAGCGAGACGAGACGTGGGGCTCGAGGATGAGGCTGGGGCTGGGGCTGGGGCATGCGACATGGATGGGAGCCACACATAAAAAGCGAGCCAGCACTTTAATTTATATGCAGTGCCGGGAGGGAGCTGAGCAAAAACCTACCGGTAGCAATAAATCAAACTATCAATTGAATTCCGAGGCGATCATCACTTCACTTGTGGGGAGCGCGATTCGTTCCCGATTCCCGAACCCGATCGTCATCGTCATCGGCATCGCTTCTTGTTATAAGTCGCACGGTGACGTGCCACTGCGAGTGCGAGCGCGTCGTTCGGTGGCAACCAACATCTGGAGCTTCTCCGTGGAAGGGGAGACTCTGCACGGGAGCAGTGCAGTGGCCGCGATTTTAAGCCGCTTTTGCAATTGACTGAGGCGCGTCGGGGCAGTCGGAGCTGTCGCATTGCCACTAACGTAGTAAATCATCGGTCGATCCTGCTCTGCTCCCAGTTCCAGTCCAAGTCTCCAGCTGCTGCTGATGCTGCGCGCGGCATAAATCAAGCATAGCCATAGCCATAGCCATAGCCATAGCCATAGCTGCGACCACAACAATTGGTGCAACATGCGAATGCAACAAATTGTCCAGCACCGCAGACTGCAACTGCAACTGGCGACTGAAGACTGAAGACTGGAACTAAGCGTACGAGCAAGTGGGGTCGCCGCATCTGCATGGGCTTAATTAGTGCTCCTGCTCCTGCTCCTGATCGGAGCCGCCCAATCGGTCCAAGAAAGAGCATACCAGGCGGCTGGAGGCACTTGCAACTGGCGACTGGCAACTGACGACCGACGACTGTCTGTGGCCACACACAGGGAGCTGGATCGCTCCAAAAAAGAGGTGTTAAAATGTGTGCAGTTCTCGCGATCAGATAAAATGTCAAAACGAACATAAAAGCTTCTACATCTGAGGAATGGCAATGCCAATTGCTGGCAGCACAGTGACAGGCGATCCGATCTCCGATCTCCGATCCGGGTCCAATCCGAAGAGGACCGACCGAGGATCGGCAACAAATTGCCAGCGTCTGCAGAACGTCAGGAATTCCATAAATTCCAACTGCAATCGCCGGCAGTCGATGTCGTTGCTGCCAGTGATTCTGCAGCAGCCGCAGCAGCAGCCGGTCCACTAATGGACCACACCGCGTCCATTATGCCCATAAACGCTGACACTTCCGCCACCGTCCGGCGGTCCACAACTCTCCAGCTTCAGCTTCAGTTGCAGCTCCAGCTCCAGCTCTGACTCTGAGTTTGAGTCGAACTTTAGCTTTGACGTCGTCGATCAACCCAGCAAGCCGAAATTTGTCCAACCATCTCATTGTCTCATCTCCCGACACCACATCACAGTGCACAGCCAACAGTCCACAGCCAACAGCCAACAGACTGCAGACTGCAGACTCCTCTCGAGTGTCGCTCGCTGATCGCGCTACAAATTTCTTGGTGTTTCTGTGTCACGCGCGGAATGCCGGCAACAGCTTCGTTTAAATTCCAATTGACATTTAATGATTTTCGACCAACCCCCCCCCAATCCCTCTCTCGCGCTCTCTGTTGTCCCTTTCCGTATACTTATTTCCTTTTGTTTGCTTCCCATTGCAGTCCTCACACAGCCGCACAGCCTCAGCCCATCCGCGCCAATGATGGCCCAGGGAACACCACCCGCTCCCACCATGGTGGGCGGGCTCTTCTGCGGGGGAAACGGAAACGCACCTGCAGCAACGGCCACCGCCACTGCCACCAATCTGAACGCTTTGGCCTCGCAGCACCGCCTGCTGGAACTGTCCCGCTTCGGACTGCGAGGATACGATCTGGCGCAGCACATGCTCTCCCAGCAAGGAGCCGTCTCCAAGCTGCTAGGTAAGCAGTGGGCAGGGGGCAAATGGGGGGGACGGAGGCAGGGCCTAGCCAATGCAATCAACGGCGTCATCCGGGTCCCATTTGGCATAACCGATTTGGCGGGACCACAAAACACGCGCCCCAAATGCAATTGCCATGTGTCCCGCCGCATTAGCGACCCAAGCGTCCCAATCGATTGGCTTGGGCTCCGTTGCTGGGGTCACGTAAACACGACAAATCGATTGGCCATCGCCTTGCCTCCCCCCAGTAGCAGCTGGGCAGGGGCACCACACCACCCCACTCTCTACTCCCAATCTCTACTCCAGCGATATCCACAATCAGAACTGGGGCCTGCGTCTTCAGCAGCCGCACACCTGTTGCCACCTGCGAGTGCGACACTTGACCATGTCATTTTCAATTAGCCACCAAGCGCTGTGCACTCCTAGCAGCTAATTTCCCTTCAAACTCAACGGGTGGGGGGGCTCTTCTTATCTAGATTTTTGAGCTTCAGACTCTTCAAATTCAGAGCCAAAACGGGCATCACTTTTAAATCTATCTGCCATGCTACGCAGATTTTTGTAAGCTCTTTTTAGGACTCTAAAATTGTATTCGAATTGGTTGCAGGTGCCAGGAAATTCAACAAAAAAGATTACATTAGTGGGAAAATGGAGAAGAACTTCGTTCGCCTTCTGCAGTATTTCTCCATGCGAAACAGAAATTCTAGATGATATAATTATGAGCATACTCGTAAGACCAAGAAAAGGCAGAAGAATATACTCGCAACTATTTTCATTATCGTATTTGGCGGCTACTCAGAGTTTATCCTCATCCCTTTATCCTTCAGTTCAAGCCTGTGGATATTGTTTAGCAGAGTAAACAGCCGCGTCCCTCCAATTTCATTCCCTTTGGGCTCTGATTATATTATAATAATGAGACACCAAATTAATTGCTCCATAAAAGCTATGATATAGCCACCATCCTCCAAACAAACGAAATCCAACGCAATGAAATGCCTCAAATAACGAAATTCCAGCCAAGATTCCCACCTGACAGGTGCAGCATCATTGATAGTGTGTGCCACAAAGTGGTGTGATGAATGAATCGGCCGCCACTCGGCCCATTCACAAATATTCATTAGCGTGGCCTCAAAATCACAGCATTCAATATACATCTACATATGTATGTATGTATGTATTTGTGTACATATGTATGCACATTTGCGGGTGCGAGTCACTTCCATTTTAGCCATTCAAATTGTGCAAATAATTTCCGTTTTGTGCAATAAGCCAAGTGCCTACAATACCCACACTGAAAGAAAGCAGCGACAACCAGTTGAAAATGTTACTGGACATCGTCCCAGTCCCCCCACTCACCCTTTACCAGAAGTAATACAGGTTTAGCTTACAGTAAGCATCCCCTGCCCCCTGCATGGGGGAGGGGTTTTCTCCCAGTGTAGCTTCGCTGCTCAATTTACAAGATAAACGCGCGCGCCTGTCAACCGCTTCCGACGAATTATCATTTGAGCTGCGTCGAGGCTGCGACTGAGTCCCCAGTCCGCAGTCCCCAGTCCCACTTGGAGTTCGAGTCTCTGGGAGCGGAGCTTGCGGCGCTGATGTTTGTCAAATATTCAAATTAGCGCGCCGCTGAATGGATGGCGGCTCCCGTTCCCCGACTTAATTGTCTAGCTAGTTAGTGGCAGTGGGGCTGAGCTGGGCAGGGCAGGGCAGTCAGTCAGGTAGCAGGCAGCTCGAACCCATATAGTAGACAATGCAATGCTGCCGTAGGGCTTTTGACCCGCTCGTAACGCCCACACGGGCAGGCAGCGCGGAGGCAGCGCGAACAATGTGAGAATTATGCGAGTCGCACAATGCGCCAATGCCGCCAGCGAAATGATTAGAATGGCTATACAACCCCCGTGGAGGGCAAACATACATATATAATATATAATATATATAAAGTAAACTCTCCCTTTGCAGGCACTCTGCGACCACCGGGCCTCATCGGCGGCTCCAAGCCGAAGGTGGCCACCCCAACGGTTGTCTCCAAGATCGAGCAGTACAAGCGCGAGAATCCAACGATTTTCGCGTGGGAAATACGCGAGCGACTGATCAGCGAAGGTAAGATTCGGATGCGGAACAATAGGGCCAGAGATGATCGGCAATCCTGGAGTGGAGTGGAGTGGAGTGGAGTCCTGCCTGCTGCCAGGGAGGGGACACAATGAGAGTAGCTGAGCTAATTAACTGACAGGGAACCCCCGAAAGCGAAATTGCACAACAAATGACAACGGTCGCGACAAGAGGAGTCGAGTCGAGTGGAGTCCGTCCTCTTGTCTTGCTGTGCGTCCTGCTCTGACTGTGGACTCTGTGGTCTCTGGCTTCTGGGTCTGTCTTTGGGCGGGCAGTGCAGGTTTACGCGCTTCTTCAGCAGCGTTGGGGAGAACCACTGACAGAACCAGAAGCAGCAGCAGTTGGAGCAGCAGCAGCAGCAGCAGCAGCAGCATCAAAAGATCAGCCATCAGGCATCAGGCATCGGTCGGGATTGATGTGTTTATGGTGCTCGTAATGCGAATGCTTTGCGATTTATCCGCAATCGGATAGCACAGTCGCAGTCGCAGTCCCAGTCCCAGGCCCAGTTTTAGTCCCCGAGCGAGGCTCATTTAATGTTGTAAGAATATATTGTTTCAGTGGCGTAGATTTAGATTTATCGATTGGCTAATTTATGAACATCCGTTCCGTTCCGTATCGTTCAAGACGGGGAGTGGGGGGGAGACTCCAACCCACTCCACTCCACGTCGATGTCGATGTCGATTGATATGTAAATGTGCTCACATTTGTGTCACTCATTTCGGGGTCCAGTCCAGTCCAGTCCGTCTGCAAGGGAACGATAATCAGAATGGGAGTCCACTAACCACTAACCAGCAATCCCAGCAATCGAAGCAAAGCCAACAGCCAACAGCCAGCAAACAGCAGCCAGCAGCCAGCAGTTGACGGCAGTTGACAGTCGCCTGTGGGCAGTGGACATAGGCAGTCAGTTCAGATCGCTCGGGGCAATGAATCGTTCCGATAGCCATCTCTCACATGAGACGCACGAACACACAGGCGGAACTGGAACTGGCGCTGGACGCTGGACGCTGCTCCAACCTCGGACCAGAGAGAGGCTGATTCAAATCGCGAATGGCCGGCTCGTCGGCTCGTCGGCTTGTCGGCCCGCTCATTACAGTCAATCTTTGGGCTCATTTGTTTGGGGTCACGGGCGGGTCATGACGTGCAGCATCCGGTGCTTTCATTGCTGGCCTCCTCCTTTGCTCTTTCTGTGGCAGGTGTCTGCACGAATGCCACCGCCCCGTCGGTGAGCAGCATCAATCGCATTCTGCGCAACCGCGCCGCCGAGCGCGCCGCAGCGGAGTTCGCCCGTGCCGCCAGCTACGGCTATGCGATGCATCCGACGCACCCACATCCGTACACGAGCTTTCCCACGTGGCCCGGCCACCATCCGCTGTGGGGCGCTGTGCCCCTGCCCGCCGGCGGAGCTCCTCCCGGCGGCAGCAGCAGCTACGGCAGCGACGCCAATTCCAATTCCCATTCCCATTCCAATGCCAACTCCCACAACACGAACAGCGGCAGCGCCTGCGGGGAGAGCAGTGCGGGCAGTGGACGTCTCTCCTTGCCGGCCCTCTCGCCGGAGTCGGGCAGCAGGGAGAGCAGGAGCAGGGAGAGCAGGAGCAGCCGCTCCCCGGAGCTGGATGCGGAGGCCAACCGTGTGATTGGTGAGTGGTAAACACGGGCACTCCCCAGTGTGGCATCCCCCGAGTAAAGGACTCACTCCCGTTGGCAGATATCGAGGGGGAGGACAGCGAGTCGCAGGACAGCGATCAGCCGAAGTTCCGCCGCAACCGCACAACCTTCAGCCCCGAGCAGCTGGACGAACTGGAGAGGGAGTTCGAGAAGTCGCACTATCCGTGTGTGAGCACCCGCGAGAAGCTGGCTGGCAGGACCGCGCTGAGCGAGGCGCGGGTGCAGGTGAGTCCCCTTCCGTTTCCGTTCCGTCATTGCCTACTAACCACATCGAATCAGAAGCGAACACACAGACAGATAGACACGCAGACAGACAGACAGACAGACATAGAGACACACCCCAGCCACTCTTTCTTTATCAACTAACAAATTGTCTCTCCGTCGATTGATCAATTAGGTTTGGTTTTCCAACAGACGAGCGAAATGGCGGCGCCACCAGCGGGTCAACTTGATCAAGCAGCGCGACTCGACATCGACCTCCACATCGCCAACGCCGCCCACGCCTGCCGGGGGACCAGCGCCAGTTGCCTCGATGCCCGAGCCTGGTGCCCAAAAGCCGCTGGAGCAACACGCGTATCCGGGCATCCATCGGCATCCCTACAACACCAGCCACATCCGCAGCAACAGCAGCCCCAGCAGCTGCCCCAGCAGCTGCCCCAGCAACAACATCCTCGAGGTGGAAGCTCCGGCAACAGCAGCTCCTGCCTCACCCACAGCATCAGCTCCATTATCAATGGGCGGTGAGCACAGTGCGTTCCGCAGCCTGCCCATGCCGATGCCCATGCCCATGCCCATGTCCATGCCCATGTCGATGCACATGCCGATGCCCATACCCCAGGCCTCGGCGGCAGCCTTCGCCCTGAACTTTGCTCGCCAGTACATAGCCAAGTACATGGCCACGCCGCAGATGAATCCGATTGGACCCCTGGATATGGATCCAGAGGAGCAGCAGCAGGAGCAGGAGGAGGAGGAGATCAACGTGGAGCAACACGATGCAGAGGGAGACGCAGAGGAGGCGGCATAGAGCTATCCGCACATGCAACGCATATTGGCCCATCCAATCCCATCCCACAGAGTGATGATCCATCGGAGCCATGGGAAGAAAGAACCGAAGCGCTCTCTGTGTGTGTGTGTGTGTGTGAGTGCTCTTCCTATCGCTTTAAATGGAGAGAATATTTAGTGCAATTTTTACTTAATTTATTCAGTTTGTACGAGTTTGTATCTCTGACCCTAACCGCGTGCTGAGTACAAATAAAACCGAACCGATCCGAACCGATCCAAACGGAACGGAACAGAACAGAACCGAATCTATACAATACGATGACATGCGTGCGATAAATTCTCACGAGTTTCGTATAATTGGTTGGGAATTCAGAAGATGACACCCTCCTTCGTCACTGAAGGGTGAGAGAGAGGGTGAGAGTGTGAGAGAAAGGGGAGCCCGGGGGCCAGGCAACACAACGCGCATTCGAAAATAACTCAAGTGGACAAATCTGACAATTTTGTGGCTACCAAAAGCATTGAGAGGAGACAGGCAGCACAGAGGCAGTGGCAGTGGCACAGAGGCAAAGGCTCCACAGCTCAAACTCGAGTACCTGGCATCTTATTCGGACTGACCGACCGACCGACCGACCCAACCGATCTGAGGCTGGAGAGTTGGAGAACTGGGAACTGGGAGCTGCAAGCTGGGCCTGGAGCCGGGTGATTAATGTGGCTTTAATTACATGCGCTGAGAAGTCGTCGCCGTCCTCGTTTTTGTCGTCAATGTGTATGCTCGGATGGATCACTATAATTATATAGATGGCCGAATTAAATTTTAATTTAACGCCTGTCAAATCAGAAAACCACTTCTATAATCGTTCGCTTAACAGTGTTCGATCCCCAGCAGCACAGCGCCTCCACCAATATCCACACACAATATCCACACTCACTGTCCGATCGATCGATGCCCAAATAACTGAGGGGGAAAGGAATCAATCGAACGAACCCTGCGCCACCATATATTATTGATTGTAATGAGCCAGCGAAGGCGTCAACTCCAGCGTCGATTTCGATGCGTGATGATGAAAGAAATACATACGCCTGCCTTTGCCTGCCTGCCTTTGACTGCTTGCCAAGAGAATGCAAAAACAATTAAAACCCCGTACCTGGGGCTTTTGATGAGTCGTCGAAACAGTGTACATTGTGCTCCACTCCACTCCTCTATACGTGAAGCTGGAGGTGGAGACAGGCCGCCGCATGGAGTGGCTTTCACTTGGATTGCTTTGCAGGCAACAGCAGCTCTGGCGCTTTGTGCAGCTTCTGATCTCGGCTTTTGAATGGACAAGAGAAGAGTATCCCCTGATAGTTGGCGGCGATGCTATTAGATCTCTGAAATGTAACAATTGGGCTAAACGATTTGTCGATTTTCTACCATGGGAATAATGCGAAGAAATGTAAATTATATTCTGGGTTCGCATCAACATTCCCTTGGATTCAGTCTTTCAAATATATCTGCTGCTCTGCAAACTAGTTGCTCAGTTCTAAGAACTATCTGGCTCTTGCGCCAGAGCCTTCGTTTTACTTCAATCGGAACCGTCCAGATCGGATTACTATATCAGGTGGCTCAAAAACAAGTCCGCAAACAAGTAAATAAATATACGGTAGAATATACTTTATAAAATTTAAAAGTTGTAGCTTAAATCACATATATAAGAGCCTCCGAATTTAGCCTTAGTTACATGTGCAAATGTTTAAGAATTCCGCCCGGAAGAGATTAAATATGAACATCCAAATGTCCCTCTTGTTTAACTTCATTTGTTTATGTATTGCACATATCGATGGAGAATATGTTTAATTTTGAGTGTAAATACTTAATAAGAATGCAAATCGAAAGAGAAAGAGATGGAGAGAGAGGAATCATCCTTGCTGGAGCGGAGCCTGTACCTGTTAATTGCCAAAGGCGTTAGTATTAAGTGGTTTTCGTGCTTATTATAAATATCTCTTAATTTTCGCCATCCCCACGGTACGCTGCCCCGTGTGTGTGTGTGAGTGGCAAAATCTTGAAATGGCAATCACCGACAGAAGCAGTCGCAGAGCCAAAGACAGAGCCACATTCAGAGACAGGGCCAAAAGGCAGCCAAGTGGACAACAACGTCTGTTGCAGTCGCAGTCGCAGTCGTTGCTATCCCTGTCGTCTGCTTTGTTGTCATTATGTTGTGTTATTTGGCACGATTTGTTAAGCTAAGGAGAGACCTCAACCTCTGCCTCTGCCTCTGCTTCTGCCTCTTCCCTGATACCCGGCACTGGCACTGGCACTGCGACTCTTGGCCGAGAGCTGTGCGCGGTTGCATGATGCTGCGGATCGATTGGGCTTGAATCGATCAGCGACCGACCAGCCGCAACGGCGGAATGGCAAAAGCGTCTTCAGTAGCGATCACTACATGGCATAGGACCGCGTCGAGCAGAGCCGAGCCCCCCCCTCTGCCATCCGACGTGCTCTGATAGATGCCGCCTTCCTTCTCTGGTCCTGCGACTGGCACTGCTGCGAGCAAGAGCGGGAGCCAGGCTGGCGTCGGATCGCGCATATAATTGTCGCATGCAAGATCGCGGCCATCGACATCGGCCAGCAGCAGCAGCAACAACAGCGGCAGCGGTGACACACAGCACAGAGCACACAGCACCCGAGGAGGACATGAAAGGTAACGCATTGCTGCGGCGACGGGAATAAGTAATTCACTTAACGCTTTAATATCGCTGATAAATGCAGAGCAATCTGCTCCCTCCAGCTCCAGCACCAGCACCAGCTCCAGCAACAGCAACAGCCGAATACATTTCCACTTAATTGGTGCAATTTCCAGCGATTTTTATTTTATTCGCATGCGTCTCTCATTCGAATGGAGCCCGATCCCTACACCGATCCCCAGCCTGCCTGGCCTGGGCAGACTTTGTGGCTGCGGCGTGCGAACATCGTTGGATGCAGCGGCGGACTGGCCTGGCCGGGCCTGGCAGCCGCTCATTTGCATAAATTCAAATTCATTTGCACGAAAATGAGAATCGAGCATTGTTTTGCACGTGTTGACATGTTTAGGAACAGAGTGGAAGGGCTCCGTCCGACTATCAATACTGACCGGATGCACTGCCCAAACGATGATGAAGTGTGCATCCTCTGCAGACTATCCAACCAAGCCCATCCACCATACACCATCCACCATCCAACAGAGAGCTACAACCCATCGACTTCTATGCGAGTTTAATGCAAGTCCAGGCCTATAATTTGATCGTATCCACACAATAACTCAGGGTATTCCCGGCCGCCTGTGAGCAGGAGTGCAAAATGCCCAGTGGCGCTGGGCTGGCCGTCTGGGGCGGGGCCCCGGCCAGAGCAGTGACAGAGCCGATAATGGATGCGCAGCAATGCCATTTCTGGCAGTTGGGAGTGCACTTCGGCTCCTGATAAGACCACCACCAGCGAGCGATCCTCTTGGCTCTCCTCGCAGTAGTTGTTGAAAGCGTTGAGCGAGTGCGCAGCCGTGCCCGCCCGGCTCACTTAGCGGGCATGCTCCATAACTCAGAAGGAGGAACCGTGGAACCCTGCCACACTGCCACACTGGGCAACGCAACCCTGCCAACATCTGGGGAGTGTGCTGTGCTGTGCCGTGCTGTGCTGGATCGATCGGATTACCCGGCAGGCTTTTCAATTCAACACATCCTCCAATTATACCCACACATGTGTGTGTGTGTGTGTTTGTGTGTGTGTGTGTGTGTGCTTGGCCCCGCCCCCAAGTCGTCTGCGCATGGGCGTGCGACGCAAATTATAGCAAAGAGCCTGACTTGAATAAATGCGCGATTTCGGAAATTGAAAAGGAATTAACGATGGTCAGTCAGCCAGCCGATGGTTTGGTATGGTATGGTACGGTCCCAGGCCCTGCCAATTGCAGAAATATTGTGCATAATTATATGCTAATCCAGGATTTGAATTATTGGATTTTGGATATCGGACACGGCAATGCAGGGAAATCTTTCGGGCGGCGCCTTGGCCCGTAATTGGGGCCGCTCGCCCCATTTCCCACTGGCGGTAGGTAGGGCCACCCGCGGTCTGTTTGGATTGAAGTCGCTCATGTAAGTAATTTCCCTGTCTGCGATATCCACCGACAGACGGCTAGGACGGTAGGAGATTGATTACTGTTACGAGTGTGATAAATCGCTGTTTTTATTAACTTTTTCGGCATGACGCTGCACAAATGGCATTGCATCGCCCGTCTCCCCATCTACCATCCGCGGGCAGTGTTTGGTCGGATTGGTCGGCACATGAATAGCATCAATATGGGAATCAGATCAGCGTGATATTGTACAATTTGTTCGATTCGTCATCGGCCTGCAGACCAACAGGAGAGAGCATGTAATTCTGCCTCTGTGGCAGCCACTAATCGTCCTAATACATTTCTAATTATTCATTGAGGATAATCTGTAGAGATTTTCGAGGATTGGTAGATATAAATATGACTGGATTCGAAAATATAGTGAAGTATAGAGGTTAACAAATAATATTCATTTAAGTTGTTTTGTTTTCTGTATCCCAAAGGCACAGACACAGGCAACCAATTTAAAAATTGCGGCATAGTACAAAAATGATCGAAAAGTGAAGTATTATATCGATACCTAACGTAGTTGAGTACGGCAACGCTGCACATTTTCAGGGCAGTATATTTCATATAGAGATGGTCAACTCCTCCAACTCCGGATTTGGTACAATAATCGTCGGAGTTGGATGAGTTGACCATCTCTATTAGGACCAACAAAACAGCTGCTACGCGAAAAGTGAAGCAATTTTTAAACAACCCAATCCGTGGAGATCGGCGCCTAGGCTTTGCTCTTGGATAGCCAATCTAGTAGAAAATTGATTCGTAAATTGGAAAAAATTATTTTCTTAGGATTGACAGGGCTAACTAGCTAGTAATATTAAATCGAATATCAAAACTAAGGAATATCAGCGCATTTTGTCAGTATATGTACGGTATATTTCTGGGGTATTTTCGTGCTCACAATTTAAACGTAATAATGAGTCGGGAGAGCGTGAATTGCTTTCTTTCTTCTGGCCATGGCAAGGTATGGCCCCAGTACTAAAACGGCGAAGCTTTTTTTTTATACCGTGGGAGCGCGAAGCCATACCATGGTGTGTTATGTAGTGTGGTGGGTTTTATGCTTGAAAGCTTCGGATTTTGTGACGTCATACGTCACACCTCATCACCTTCTCCTTGCGGCGCAATCAAAAGTTCAACTCAAAAGCTTGAAGCGAAATTGATAATACGAATACGATAATTTTTTTTTGCCAATAAAATAAACCATAAGTCCGAGCTGTGGATTTTGTACAAACAAATTCGCAACTTTAAATGTGTTTAACCAAGTGGCAGTGCAGACCAACAGGTATTGAAGGGTCCACGGAGGCTGGGGAGTCGTAAGCGAGTGTTTGGTTTCCAATATTGGCAGTACACACCGCCAGCGTCAGCAAAAGTTATCAGCTGCGAAGAAGACAAAAGAGTCGCACGTAGTAGGCTGCTCTGTTGCCATGGCCAGTCCCAGGACGAGACGAGTGCTCCAAGAGCTGAAGCCCCAAGATAATAATTCGGTGAGTTGTCCATTCGAAAGTCACTTCCGCCTCGCATACATATATGTGCATGCGTACATACGTACATACATACATATGTTGCTATGTACACACAGACATGCACGTGTAGATTTATTTATTTTTATAAGCCATATTTGCCATTGAACACAGAAATGCTTCGAGTGCGGCACTCACAATCCCCAGTGGGTGTCGGTCACCTACGGCATTTGGATATGTCTGGAGTGCTCCGGAAAGCATCGCAGCCTGGGCGTGCATCTGTCGTTCGTGCGCTCCGTGACGATGGACAAGTGGAAGGACATTGAGCTGGAGAAGATGAAGGCGGGTGGCAACCGCAATGCACGCGAATTCCTGGAGGATCAGGATGACTGGAGCGAACGAGCGCCCATAACGCAGCGATACAACTCCAAGGCTGCAGCCCTGTACCGGGACAAGATTGCGACACTGGCCCAAGGCAAAAGCTGGAACCAAAAAGAGGCCGAGACGCGGCTGGGCAGCAACAACAGCCAGAGCAGCAATAGCGGCAGTAGGAGCTCGCAGTCACATGCCAGTGCAACAGGTTACGGCGGTTCCTCCGATGGCTATCAGAACGGAGGCGGCAGCTATAGTGACGCCCCAGGCTATCAGCAGTACCAGACACAGGAATTTCGGGATCAGAAAGAGGAGTTTTTCAGCAAACGCCAAGAAGAGAACGCTACGCGACCAGCGTACGTACCACAGTCGGAAAATAATTGCTGTCAGATATTTCATGAAAAATTGTCTTGCAGGAACTTGCCACCGAATCAGGGCGGAAAGTATGCCGGATTTGGGTTCACACGTGAGCCTCCGCCAAAAACGCAATCTCAGGAGCTCATCGACTCGACTCTCTCCACCCTGGCGTCGGGCTGGAGTTTGTTCTCCACGAACGCCACAAAGTTGGCCAGCACCGCCAAGGAGAAGGCCGTTACCACTGTCAATTTGGCATCAACTAAGGTGCGTCATTTGAAGCACACCCCACCCCATAGATATCTTTGTTTCGTTGCATTCCGTTTTATTTGTTTGATTTGTTTTCTTCCCTGTTTTGGTTGTAGATGAAAGAAGGCACTTTGCTAGAAACCGTTCAGAGCGGTGTTACAGACGTGGCCTTCAAGGTCGGTAGTTAGAACAATCCCTTTTGTCACACTAGACCCACAAAAGGCCTACAACACGTACAACATCCTCTTATTTTTCTCACAGGTCACAGACATCGGCAAGAGAGGCTGGAATAACTTGTCGGGCAGCAGCGTCTCGTCGCCGCAGAGCGGCTACAACGACCCCAACTTCGAGGACAACCCCTATCAGCAGCGATCCAACTCTGTGGGTGGGAACCTGGCCGGAGGCTTGGGCCAGCAGAGCGGCGTGAGCGACAGCGACTGGGGTGGCTGGCAGGAGAATGCCAATAACAAGACGCATCTGACCAGCTCCAGCTCGTATCATACGCAGCTAAGCAGCAACAGTGGCAGCGCCACGGCTGGCCTAACGCACGACGCCGACTGGTCCGGCTTTGAGGCGTCCAACTACCAGAGCGCGGAGACCTCCTACCAGAATGCCCCGTCGGGCGGGCAGAGTGCTCGCCGCAACATGAAGCTGCAGGACACATCGCAAAAGCTGAGCGAGGGCTTCGACAATCTGGATGTGAAATCGAAACCGGCCGCTCCTGCGGCCGAAAAGGCAAGCGCCGAGGATGATGCCTGGAACTTGCTAATGAATTAGATAGAGAGCTGCTGTCCCCCATAACCGATCCATTTAGCCGAACCGCAATGTATTTTTCCGTTCTTTGTGTTCTTTTTTTTTGTTATCCTGATGTGAGGAAGAAGCTGTTGTGCGCGCATTTAATGTAATTAACAGAAATTCCCCCGAAAAAACACTTGTATGCTCCAATTTTAAAACAGAAAGTGCAACTATTCTCGTTCATTTCCACAGTTTAGACCAATTTTATATAGACCTACATAACGAATTATTTAGCTGAAATATAAGTGAATCGTAAACAAACAACATTCAGAAGTGGAGAGATAATACATATTATGTTATCAACTGTAATTCAGACTTTTGTTTGGAATTTTTAAGGCCATCGTGGACGGAAACAGATGAAACGTGACCCTGGCCTCCATTAACAAAATTGGTTTTTCAATGTAACTGTAATCTGAGCCCGCTGTCAACTTAATAGCCGACACTGTGCGCTTAACAGTACTTGGCATTTAACACCAGTTGTGGTGATGTTACGCAGGATGACCGTTTGCGTTATATTACATTATTTTCTGGATATTTTTACGTCGAAATGGATTTATGAATATGGATATTAAATCAATTTCATCAACCTATTAAAGAGGAAGGTGGAGCTACAAGGAACGTTTACAAAAACTAATAGTTTCCGCGGTTCATCTCAAGTTTAAATTGAGTTAAATTGGGGTTAAGGGGTTAAGCATGAAATTACCCCGCTACATTTACGGTATATTTTGAAAATGAGAAGATATATTTCAGTATATTTTATCGAAAAAATCCGCGGTCACACTAATGTTTTAAATTGAAAATTCGAGTCAAAATTTCTTGACCAAGCACTCACTTTCGTTTTATTCGAATTGAAAAGGCAAAGATCGTCACACACATCCTATATATCCCCGGGCACAACAGCAGTGAATCAAGTCGGTACGTAGAGGCCTGTCGTCGTGGTATTCGCATTGAGGTCCGCTTTCTTCTGCATATCCATATCCAGTTGAGTGTGTGTGCCTTTGCGTGTGCATGTGTGTGTGCGACGACTGCAGAATAAAATTTTGCCAATTTGGCAACAATTCGCGAGCAATTCGGTGAAATTTGAGTCATTGCCCAGACGGAGAGACTGGCCAAAAGGCGTGCATAAGGTGCGAGAAAATGCAATAAGGCCAGAACAGCCTTGGGATGCGTTGCTCCCAATGGAAATGGAGTATTAGAAAGTTCCAGTATTGCGTGGGCTCTTTCTCTCGCTCTTGCCCCCGCTTTCTCTTCACTCACTTGTGGGACGGACATGTGTGCGTGTGTGCGTGAGGCTGGTGCCAATTTTTCAAGGCTTTCCGGAAATGCGTTGGCTGGCCTTCAAAATTATATCGACTCCACGAAAATCAATGATTGCAATGAGTCTCTGCTGACCAGCCCCAGCTTTAATTATAATGTTATAATGAGAGCGCACACACAGCCCGCACTGCCATCTGCTGCCTGCCAATTGGATGACTTCATCTGCGGGGAAACGATTTTTCACACAAGCGAATTTACTTTTCAGTTAATAGTGGGGTTCTCCCACATGCAAACTCTTGTATTAGCTTAATTGCTTATTATATATACGTTTATTATTTGCAGACCAACAGCTTGACATAGTATATCCCAAGAGAAGACCAAAATGCACCAGCCATAGGAGTAGGAGGAGCCCGCTATAGTTTGCAACGCATTTCCAACACCAAGTGCATCCCAGGCCCCTAGACACCGAGGCTCCTAGAGGCGAAGACACCCAGTTATCCGCCACAAAGCAAGTAACACTCCAAACAAGTACACACGAGTCTGGAGAATGGTCAGAAAGCAAGTTGGAATAGAAAACAGCGCATCCCTAGAAGTAAGTAAGCAGCAGTTGGAGCATCAGCAGCAGCAGAAGCAGGAACAGCCGGAACCAGGCCAGCGAATCGACATTGACTTGACGCCGGATCCGCCGATCAATTTTGCGCAACAGGCCCATGCCATCTACGCACCACTGAAGCCATCGACACTTGCCACCAGCTATGAGCACAGTGCGGCCCACAACTTCAATAGTCTGCAACATGCGCATCTTGCCAATATGCCCTACAACCTCCAGTCGGTGCCGCCGCCGAATACTGTCTCCAGCTCTGGCAGCGGCATACCAATTTCCATCATGCCCACTGAAATACCAGCCGAGGACGAGGCGCGACTCGAGCGTATCTTCAATCAGTTGGATCGGGATGGCGACGGCAAGGTCGATATACACGATTTGTCGGCGGCCCTGCACGAGTTTGGCCTGTCGAGCGTCTATGCGGAGGTGAGTGGGATCAGGCAGGGGAATGAGGGCCACAGCGGCATGCGGCAGTGTCTGCCAAGTGTCGGTGGGATTAACATAAATCGGCCACATGGGCCAGGGTCCGGCCCCGGGCGAATCGCGAATCTTTCGAATTGTAATGCTTTTGTAGCGCTTTTCTATAGAAGACAGCGAAAGATCAATAATATGTGTCCTTGACAGCTGTACTGTCCGAAGCGTATGCGAATCTAATTTATACAGAGTACATACATACATATGTATGTATGTACAGACATATGTATGGTAATATTCCCTGATTTGAGCAACATGATAAAGCATGAGACGGCGACCCTGCGATGCGATGCGATTGCTGAGATTTGTATGGTTTCCACGCTGCCGAAGCCTTTATGATAGGAAACATTTGTTTTATTGATTTCTAACTAGACTGGGGCTGTCGCCAAGCCATAGCTAAGTAATAAATGCGTTCCGCTCTCATACTCTTGCAGAAATTCATGCAGCAGTCGGACAAGAACCAGAGTGGCAACGTGGGCTTCGCTGAATTCCTGCACTATGTGCGGGAGCACGAGAAGAACTTGTGCCTGCAGTTCTCGCACCTAGATAAAAACCGTGATGGTGAGTGCTTATTAGATTATTTAATACACATATCATGGATGATGTCATGGCATTGGCGTTGCAGGGAAAGTGGATTTGGAGGAGCTAATATCTGCTTTCAAGGACCTGGGCCTGGACATTGACGTGGACGAGGCTAGAAAACTGCTAACCAGGTGCGACATATTATATATTTAATGGTCTCTATATTGATGGTATCGTCTCTCTCGCTCTCGCTCTGTCTCTGTGGCAGAATGGACAAGGACGGCAGCTTAAACATAAGCTTTAACGAGTGGCGCGACTTTATGCTATTGGCTCCCTCCACGGACATACACGATCTGATCAAATTTTGGCGGCACTCTACTGTAAGTGTGGCGGACAGGAGCGCGCCCGAACCTCCTCCTAGTAATGTAGCAAAATAGTGCAAGCCTTAACTTGTAGCGCTTAACTTTTAATCTCCTTTCCTGTTTCGTCCGGTGGGAGTTTGCCCCAGAGGTCTCTGCCTCTGGGTACAACTCTCACTATCATCGGCGCTTGTTCTGTCGCGTTCGTTCCCACAGACATTTGTAGTTGTTTAACGTTTTCGTATTTTAAACTAATTGTCCAATTTTATACTCTTATACCCTCGTTTCGTTACCATGCGTCCATATCCAAACAAAACAACACAAACCAAAAACACTCAACATACTCTCTCGTACATACGCTCTAAACTGCCTCTGTAGTACCTCCACACACACAACTCCTGACTAACTGAGGAAGATCTGAAGGTACATATCGTCAAAACTATGATTCTAAGATTACCATTAGCCCATTAGTGGTCCTCACGTAGTTTTGGGGGCCCACACGCCCACATTCACACCCACCGACAATGTACAACACATCCATCCTTACCCATCAGTCCTCTCCACCCAGACGAAGGCTTATCATTCGCTATATAGATCATAGATCATTCATCTGCATGACTATGTACTGACTGTTGTATGCATTCCACATTCGAAAATGAATCCAGATTTGTAATCGGTTATGGCCAAAGCTCCTGCTGACTGGCAAAAAGCTTGCGCTCTGGCCTGACGCAAGAGTTTTGTATATATTTCATCATCTGATTTAAGCGGTATACAAACTACCTAATCAAATACATACTTTTTTTTTTTGGTTTTAATGGGAGGCCCGTCCGGGGTGGTGCCTCCCGATTACGCTGATCTTGTCCCCGCCCGCTTATCAGGATGATTATATGTAGTCGGTTATAAAGCATTCATTCCGTTGTTTTTGTGTGGGGCATGCTAGCGCCTGCTTTGTTGTCTGCATAATCATTCTGTTTACATGCGGCAGCTCCAGCAATTGATATCAATTCCACACAAATTTGACAGTCACTTGGCTCCTGGCCCCTGCTCTCTGCTGCTATGCGCTCTGGCAGAGCCAGTCTTTCCACAAAGAACAAGGGAAGCAAAGCTGCCTGTCGATCCCCCGAAACAGCTTTCAAATCTCAGATTATCGCTCTTCGACATTTTTCCCGATTGGCAGTCCAGACCTGAATCTTAAGGTCAACTGGGTCCAGGAGCGGTTTGGTTGTCAAGCAAGCGTTGTCTGATTAGCCGGTTCTTGGCCTCTGAAGTACCTCAGACGACGACTAACTGCAGATTGCTAGGTGTCTATTTTTAGCCAGTCCCAGAAGTAAGAGTAAACCGCCACCTCAAACGTAGCCTGCGCACAAAGTGGGCCTCTAATTAAGTTGCCCTTGTAATTTAGTTGCCTCCGATGTGATGATTGATTGGCCAAATGGCCCAATCGCATCTAGATTGAACGCATTCCCGCACTGATAAGACCAATACTCGTTCTCTCTGTCGTCAATTGCACAAATATTTACGCGAATTCTCGAATTTTTGCTTTAATCAAAGTCCGCAAACGCTCTAGTCCAGTCCGGTCTGGAATTTGTTGACCGGCTTGGCAATTGAAAAGGTCCCCATAACTAGTGATAACCTGTCCGCACGTCTCGGAGTCACTAAACAGAACTGAAAACGAAACGTCGCGTCGCGTCGCTTCGGTGAATAGTATAGATTTCTAAAAGTAAACTTTTCTCGGTAGCCAAGCGGAGAGTTTCTACAAACAATATAAACTGCGAATACCGCTGAAAAGACCCACAAGCCTTGACTCATTGTTATATGATATTTCTAAAGTAAAGCTAGCAATGATTACGGTGTCCACTCACTGTACGGATAAGAGGCATGACAGACTCCAGTTGCACCACACGCCCCTGCCATGCGATGGGCTTTACTATTATACGTGTATATATTTAAGCTGTCGAATGTCGTGCCTGAATTTGTGGTTCATCGTTTCCTTCGAGACAATGTCAATTTTGGAACACAAATTGGTCCGTTCAATATCCAATTGAGAGAGACACAGCACGACACCACTAGTGGCCTTGGGAAAAGGCACTCGG